GGGCCTGCTGACCCCGCACGCCCCCAGAACGGGTGGCCGCCCAAGGCCAGCGCATCCTCATCTTCCGCCCCCGGCGCGCCTACCCTTCTAGCTGCTCGCTGGGACGCGTCGCTCCTCGCCAACACCCGGCTGACAGGGCGCAGCCACGCGGCGGCGCGCGCCGGCCCGCTGGGCGTGCTGCATGCGCGCCCTGGGCTTTCTCAGGGGCACCCGCTCGTGGAGGGGGGTTGGTTGTGGTTGCCCGATCGCGCGTTGGCTCCCCCGCCCTGTGCTGTAGGGTAAGAATTTATATCATCGCACTGACAAACACTCAGAGGGCAGAGCCAGGCCCTGGCTTCCCGGGGAAGCAGTGTTCTAAAGCGGGCCCAGTCGAGGCGTCTGATTCGCGGTGCTGCCGTGCTGCGCCTTGGCTTGGGCCTTCCACTCAGCGCGACCGCCACACCGGCAGCGACCAGCACGCAGCGGCGGCGTGCAATGCCGGCGCAGCCCAGCGGGGCCCCGCGCGCGGCGGAACGGAGCCACCCGCCCTCCATCCGCGGGTGCTAGCGCGGCGCCCGCCGGCCGGCAGCGCGGCGCGGGGGGCGCACGCGCTCCTCTCGGCCGCCGCCGTCGCCGCCGCTGCTGACGTCAGAGTCGGCCGCGCCCTCTGCTGCGCTCACGCGCCCCCTTGTTCCCCGCGCACGGGCGTTCAGCCTGCCCTGCCCTACCCCTGGCGCCCGCGGCGCAGCCTCCGCCGCCGCCCTCTGCCTGCCTGCCCTGCCTGCCCCGGGCGCAAGAGGCCGCTCTGCCTCGGAGGGCGGATTCGCCTGCGCCTCTCCGGCCCTGGCGCGGCCCGCCGCCGCGGCCGTTGCGGGAGCCGGCGCGGCCGCGCCAGACGCCGCCGCGCGCTCTCTGTACTGCGCCAATGCGCGCTCGTACGCCGCCACCGACTCGCCCTCCTCGACCGCCCCCTGCGCCTCTTTGGCCGTCCCCTCGCCCCGCCCCGCCCTGCCGCACGCGGCGGCGCGCTTGCGTTTGCCGCCGCGGGCGCTTGGCCCGGCAGCCTGCAGCAGCTGCAGCAGCCGCTCGCGCGCCTGCTCGCAGCCCTGTGCCGGCCCCCTCGCGGCCGCCGCGGCGCCGCCGCCGCCGCCGCGCGTTGGGGGGCGCGAGCGGGCGGCGAAGGCGCGTAGGCTGGACACCGCATCTGGGCTGAGGGTGTTGGCAAGCTCTGGGTGCGCCTGGGAAGATTTTCGGGCGATAGAGGTCCGTTTAGGAGTCAGGACGGTCCCCCCTTCAGATGCAAGCGAGTGTGAAACCAAATCATACGTGCATGCGCGCTGCTGGTGCTGTCGTGCCGCACTGCCCGCCTCAGGACCACTGCAACCGCCGGTCACGGTTGCAACTGAACACTTTCTTTTCTGCCGGCACATTGGATGGACAGCAGCGATCCAACGTAGCAAACCGGCAGCAGCACGACGCGCACTGCAGGTGTGCCGCACGCACCTGCAGGTGGGCCAGGAGGGCGCCCAGGGACCTCGGCCCCGGCGCCACATGCTCGAGCATCGCCGCGGCCGCCTCCGCCAGCTGCGCGCGACATGCTGCTCGCCCCGAGGCGCCGCCCCCGCCCCCACCCGCACCCTCTGGATCCTCCGCCCCCTCGTCGCCGCCCGCCGGCGCACCCCCGCAGGCCGCCGTCGCGCCGGCGAGCGCCTGCACCAGCGCGAGCGCCAACTCCTCTCCGCCGCCGCCGGGCGCGTCCCGCAGCAGCGCGGCCACGGGCCCGCGCGCGAGCGCCGCGCCGGCGCTGGCGGGGGCGTGGGCCAGCAGGCCGAGCAGCAGCTTGCGGCGCTGGTGGGGGGGCGCCGTGCGCAGCAGGTCGCGGGACAGGGCGGCGGCGATCAGGGCCACCTGGATTCAAGAAGAGGGGGGAGGCCATGAGGGGCGGGGGCCGGCCTGGCGGCAGAGGTGCTGGCATTGGTAATGCATGGGTCACGCAAGCCACCGCCGTGCGGTGCACCGACCGCCAGGCCGCCGGCGGGCCGCGCCGAGCTTCGACGCCATATGCGCCGCTCGGCGGGGCGCATGCCGGCCTAGCTGCGCTGCGGGGCCCATCAAATCAGGTCATCTCGAGATGGGGGATCCTCAGCCCTCGACGCCGTCCAAGGCTTCCGGTCGTGCCTCAACGCCGCGCTCCGTCCCCCGGTCCTCGAGCCCCCCAAACCTGCTCATCCTCAGCCATGAGACAGGCAGAGATGGCCGCGTATGACGAGGATGACATCACCAGGCTGTCGCCGGCGACCGCCCCCGCGTAGGCCGCCGCCGCGGCCGCAGCCAGGGACGGAGGCTCGTCCGGGCGCGCGGCCGTTCCGGCCGCGCCGCCGGCGCCGCACTCTGCCGGAGGGGACGCTCCCTCGTTGGGCGCGCCCGCGCGCGCGCCAGCGCCGCCGCCGCCGCCACCGCCACCGCGCCGCCGCTCCAGCTGCGACAGGATCGCCCGCTCGAGCGCCGCCAGCGCCGCCGGCGCCGCCCTCGGCCGCCGCGCCACGAGCGCGCCCGCGCCCCGCGCGGCCTGCAGCAGCAGCGCGGCCGGCGCGGCCCCGGCGCTGCTGCTGCCCGGCGGCGCAGCGAGCAGGGGAGCGAGGGCTGTGGGCGCCAGGTCGTCGGCGAGGCGGTCTGACAGGAGCAGGAAATCTTGCAGCGCCTGTAGCGAGAGCACCTGCCGGGAGCAGCCAGCGTGGGCGGCGGGGGCAGGCCACGGCGGCGTTGGGAGGAATTTGGGGGAACTGCAGCTGGCGACCGCTCGCGTGCGGGCATGACGCACGCAAAGCGATGCGTGCGGCGCACGCAGCGCGGCGCTTTCTGCTGGCGGCGCGACCGGGGCCTCAGGCACCCCCCACAGGGGCTCGTCCTGACGCTCGAGACCTCCCCCTCCCCTCCCGTCCAACCCCATCTCTCGGCCCCGGCCATCCCCGCCTGATCCCCGGTCAGCCCGGCCAGGCCGCTGCCTCACCCGCGCATAGTCCGGCGCCCCCTCATCCCCAGCAACCGCAGCCAGCAGCGGCAGGCGCGACGCAGGTGCGGTGCCGTCCTCCAGCAGAGAGTCCAGGTAGAGAGCCGCCGCATCCTCGTCAGCACGCAGCTGCGCCTCGGCTTCCAGGTAGCCGCAGCCGCCGCCCGCCGCGGCGTCGTCCTGGGGGTGCTGCGCAGGGCCACCGGCTGCGGCGGCGATTTGGCCAGCGGCCACGGCCGCGGTGCGGCCCGCGGCGAGCTGGGCCTTGAAGGCTGCAGCCGCGTGCGAGTAGCGGGCGCTGAGGTGGCGGAGGAGGATGAGGTATGCTGCGAGGGCCCGCGGCTGCTGCTGCTGCTGGTGCTGGTGCTGCTGGTGGTGAGGCTGCAGCTGCCGCAGCCGCAGCGGTGGCTCATGGGGGGCAGCCTCCGCGCCGTTGCTCACAGTAGACTCGTCTGGTGCAGGCGACCAGGGCGCCAGGGCTGCAGCCTCCAGAGAAGCAAGCAGCGCCTGCAGACGCGGGGAGGGGCAGCAGCTGCAGAGCACCTGGGTTGGGGAGATTTGCAGGCAACGCAGGGGGCGGTTGGCACTGAGTAGATGCTATCACAAGCCGGACAACAGCAATTGTTGACAGGTGGCAGGTCCCTCTCTCGACCAACAAAGACCCACACCAGGCTTGACCGCACGCGAGACAGCTAACCACCCACTGCAGGCCTTCGCGCCGGCGCAGGGCGCCCTGAGCGACCCGGGCGGGGCCCCCACCTGCATTCCAAGGTCCACGCAGCTGAGGGGGCAGCCCAGCAGCGCGTCAAGGTGCGCGAGCAGCGGCCAGCGCAGCACTGGCGCGAGCCCCGGCCGCGGCGGCCCCTCCGCCGCGACGGCCGCGGCCTGCAGGGCCCAATATATGCCGTCTTCGCATGCCAGGCCGCCCCCTTCTTGGAGCTCGGCCTCGCTCGCCCCGCCGGCCGCGGCCATCGCGCCCGTCGAGGCCGCCTCCGCAGCGCTCGCCCTGCCAACCGCCGCCGCCGCTGCTGCCTTCGCCCCTGCGCTGGCCAGCTGGCGCGGGGGCAGCAGAGCCTCGAGCACGTCCCCAAGTATCGCTGCCTCCCCAAGCGCGTCGCCCGCCGCTGCCTCCTCGCCGCCAAGGCCTCCAGAGACCGCAATCACGCGCGCCGCCGCAGCCAGGCGCCTCACGGCGCCCGCGGCCGGGCCTCGACCGACGGCCGGCGGCGCCGCCGCGGGCCCGCCGCCGACGTCGATACTGGCCCCGGACAGGCCGCCCAGGGCGGCCGACACGGCCGCGTAGCCGTGCCGTCGGAGCCGCTCCAGCGCGGCTCGCGCGCCGGCGGCGTGGCCGGCCTGGCCGCCGTGGCCCTCTCCCGCCGCCAGCTGGGCACACAGGTCCCGCAGAAGCAGCGCATCCTCTGGCCGCATGCGCGCCAGCTCGTGCTCCCACTCAGAGTACGCCAACCCCTCACCACGACCCGCGCCGCCGCCGCCGTTGCTGCGGGCGTGGCCTCTGGTGCTGTTGCGGGCTGGCCCTGCTTGGGGCGTCAGCAGCCCGTCAAGCAAGACGAGCGCGGCAGTGCCGCTCCCGCACGACACGACGAGCCGCAGCACCGCGCTCATGCCGAGTTGCCCTGGGAGCTCCTGCAGCAGCTGCACAGCAGCTGCCTGGCAGGCCTCGTCGTGCGCCGGCGAGGCGGGCGGCGTGTCGGCCAGCGCCAGCAGCGGCCCGATCGCCGCCGCGAGCAGCGCGCTCACGCCCCCTGCTGCGGCGCCCGCAGCCTCGGCCACCTCGCCGCCGCGCGCCTCGGCGGCGGCCTGCGGCGCAGCCGGCGCGGCTCCAGAGGCTTTGGCTTCGACCACAAGCGCTGAAAGCAGCTGGAGCGCGCCGCGGCGCACTGTTTTGCTGCTATCCATCAGGCGCTCAACAGCGGCACACCTGACTGCCGCGCTCACGCCGCTCCCAGCGCCGACGCCGTCACTGCCGTCATAGGGCGCCGCTAAGCCACGGACTAGGGTTGGCGCCGCCGCGGCCAGCAGCGCGAGCGCCTTGGCGCGCACAGTGGCGTCCCTGTCGCCCGCCAAGCACGCCAGCAGCGCCGCGCCGGCCTGGAACGCGCCGCCGGTCGCCGCGCCGCCGGCCGCCACGCCGCCCTCAGGCTCGGCTGTGGCCCCCGCCGCGAGCTCGAGCAGCGCCTTGCGCACCGCCGCCTTGGGGTGCAGCAGCAGGGGCGCGTGCAGCGCCGACAGCAGCGCGCCCACGACCGCCGGCCTCGCGCGTGCGGCGCCCGTCAGCAGACGCAGGCCCACGGTGGCGGCCGCCTCACGCTGCGCCGCGGCAGCCGCTGCGGCCCCCGTCCCCCGGCCGGGCCGCTGCTCCAAATCCCTGGCGACCCCCAATGCTATCAGGCTGACCGCCTTGGCGCCCAGCTCCCCAAAACAGGCAGCAACTGTTGGAGGCCCCTGCGAGCCGCCTGCCCCCCCTGGCACAGGTTGGGGCGCGGGCGGCGGCGGGGGTGGTGCCGCCGCCGCCGCTGCTGGGTGCAGCAGCTGGCTCAGCGCGGAGCTGAGCTGGCTTTCCAGAGTGTCCTGCCGGCCACGGAAGCCGGCGGCGGCGGTCGCGGGAGGCGCGAGCAGTAGGGAAGTGACCTCATTGTAAAGCGCGTCTGGCGCGGCCCGCCCGGCGGCGGCCTGGCCGACAGCGAAAGCCACGTGCTGTGCGAGTGCAGCTGGGCGCGTGCGGGGCAATGGGGCAGTGCATGATAGGTGGGGGTTGGATGGTAAATGGGTGGCCAGTGGCAGTCAATATTGGCGCCCAGCCATGAACGGCCTCAGCTCAAACACTCTTGCATTCGCACGACCCTCAAAGGCGGTAGATGGGTGCTGCGGGCCCTCAAGTTTGGTGGGTGGTGCTCTGCGGAGCCGCCAGCACACCTGATATGCCGCTGTCGCAGTCATTGCTGCGGACCCCTGATGCCGCTGCCTGCAGCGCCAGCGTCGCTGACATCAGCAGCTGCGCGCAGGCGGGCGTGGGGGGCTGGCGTTCACGGCGTGGACACATGCAAAACCGGGCCGCTGGCTGGTGCTGTGGGGGTGCATGGCGGCATGCTCAGCGCGTGCTCCTTTTTGGGTTCCCTGCCATGCGCTTACGTCCAGCACCATCTCATGCAGGACGTGGCCATGCTGCATGCATGGGCACGCGGTCTCCTTGATGCTTTGCGAGGTGACCTCATGCATGCATGCGCCCTGCGCCATGCAAAGGCCGCGCATGTCGAGGGGTGCGAGCGGCAGGGGCTTTCCAGTCGGGCGGCGCGCGCACCCTGTCCGCCGCAAGCTGCTCTGAGGGGCGCTGGAGCAGCGGCACCCCGGGCCCGGGTGGGCAGCAGCGTCCCACCGCGGCTGACAGGTGCTCGAGCGCGGGCCCCGCAGCGGTCAGCCATCCGGGTGGCGCGCCTGCCACGGGCGCTGCGCAAGCAGCTTGCCAGCCGGAGAGCTTCTGCAGGATCGTTGCTGCCCAGAAGATATGTGACGTTATGGAATCAATGTCTTCGGCCGTTTCACCCTTGTGACTGATCACGCTCGCCGCCGCGCCTGCACCTCCACCAACATCAACGCCCACGCGGGCGATGGCCTCCGCGCTCGAGGCGGCCGTGGCCGCGGCCCCAGCGGCGGCGTTGGCAAGCACCACTGCCAGCCGCCTGCCCTCTGGAGATGCAATGGACAGCCTAGTCATGGTTCCTGCATCGCCGTCCGTCCCGGCACCCTCGAGCTCGTCTATGATTCGCAGGAGGGCGGCAGTGGGCGGTGGGAAAGAGGCGGGATGCCCGGCCTTGTGTCCCACCTCCGCGTTCAAGCGCGGGCCGCCTTCTAACAAGCCGTCCGACCAGTGCTTCATGTTCAAGGACGCCTCAGACAGGCTCAGATTGCTGGCTCCGGCGCCCTGTGGCCGTTGCACGGTTGGTTGATGAAAGGTCGAGATCATGGCCGACAGATCGGTCGTTCGGGCCTCCATGGCATCCATTGTGAATTTGACATGTTATGTGATGCGGCCGTGATTCCCCATTGTCACCAGCAAAGTCAGCTGGACGATTTGGCGCCCTTCGGGCTCCACGAGCTCTGTCATTGTATCGAAAGGCATCATAGGCTGCTCTGAGTTAGTAAAAGGTCCTAAAACGCAGCGCTGGCCGCTAGCGCACACAGCACGCACGGGCTTCACTCTTCTCACCGGCATCATTGCTGGGTGGGGAGCCCCGCCCGGGGGGCTCATTTTCTTGTATCAGTGAAATCAGGTAGGTGGTGCGTGGTGCACGGGGTGGCAAAGCAGAGGCCGCGCTCGACGACGAGAGCGAGCGCCCAGCTCGCCTTGGTGTGCTCGAGGGCCGTTCGCGTGGCACTCATGCGACCGTGCTACTCCGCTGCGTTGTGGAGCTTGGAAGGAGCCCTGGGGCGCACGCACGACAGCGGCGGCGCGAGCTGGTGTGGCGGTGCACCAGTGGGGCGCGCACCGGTGTCGCACCACGCATGCCGCTGCGATCGCGCTCGCGCCCGTCCGCAGGCCAGTCGTGATGCAGATGCAGGGTGACGACCTGGACCTGGACAATGTGCTCGACAATTACCTGGTGCAGCTCCAGGGCGGAGGCATGCCCGGCGCTGGCCTGCCGGGCGGCCTGCCAGGTGGCATCGGCGCCGGCATCGGCGGCATGGGCGGCATGGGCGACCCCCTCGCCGGCCTCGGGGGCATGGGCGCCGGCGGCATGGCCGGGCTCGGCGCCGGCGGGATGGCGGGCCTGGCCGGCATGGGCGGCGCGGGCATGGCTGGCCTCGGCGCGGGCGGCTACGGCATGGCCGGCCTGAACCAGATGGGCCTAGCCGGCATGAACGCCGCGCAGCTCAACATGCAGCAGGCCATGTCCCAGGGCATGCAGCAGTCGATGCAGCAGACCAACCCCGCGCTCGCGCGCAACCTGATGAACTCGCTTGGCGCCGGCCTCGAGGGCTTCGCCGGCGCCGGCGGCCTCGCCGGGGGCCTCGGCGGCGGCGGCGGCGCCGGCGCGGGCGGCATGGCAGGGCTTGCCGGGCTCGCCGGCTTTGGCGGCGGCGCGGGCGGCATGGCGGGGCTGGCCGGGTTCCCTGGGATGGGCGGGCTCGCGGGCCTGCAGGGCATGGGCATGGCCGGCCTTGGCGCAGGGCTTGGTGCCGCTGGCCTCGGCTCAGCCGGGCTCGCAGGCGTCGGCGCGGGCGGCAGCTCCGGCGCCGTGGCGCCCGCGAGCACCGCGCTGGCCGGCCTGGGCGCCGCCGCGGCCGCGG